CCTTTAGGCTATATATAGAAAATATATCGCCTAAAGCGTGACGTAAGTGTAGGGCTTTTTATTAAAAAAGAGTTATTCAAAAATATGCTGTAATTCCTGACATCTTAGACAACAAAGAAGTGTGTGTTTACACTTTATTATAATAGTATAGATTCAAAGTAGAAAATTTAAAATAGTACAATTGTGCGGCATTATATTTTGCTATTTGTCGCATGGCGAAAACTCGACGGTTTAAGAGTGGCGGGGCGTTGAGGTCTTGTTCCTAAAGTGCTCAGCAAATCTCCGAGTACCCTACAATTCTGCGGATAATAGAAGCTTAAATGCAACGTGTTATTAACTTTGTTCCTGTGAAACGGTTATGTACAAAACTTGTTATGTTCTATTGAAATTGTGTAGCTTGTTTCAGTTGTATTAATAACATTTTCAACTTGTTAGTCCATCATTATATTATAAAAGCATAAGTATAGATGGATGTTTGTTAGAGTTTGTAGCCTAAACGGCTTAACGGATTTCGATGAAATTTTGTATAGATGTAGAGGATAGTCTGGAAGAACACATAGGCTATTCACTTTTGTTTTTTTTTAATTCCACGCGAACTGAATCGAGGGAGAAAGCTAGTTGTTTATATTTATAGACTGAGTTCCCTTGATCGGCAGACTTATATTTCTAGAGCTGTAACTTTTTCAAATAAGATATAGAGACAAACTAAAGTAGTTTTTTGTTCTGTTAACAATTTATATTAATAAAATTTTACATTTGGATTTTAGAACCAACCATGCTTAATTTAAATCCATAATCTGTCTCCACACCTCTATGTCCATCGTGAGTGTATTCATTTAAATTTTAGTAAACAAAATACAATTCTAAAGTTTAGTCCAAATTAATAAATAAGACACTTAAACTTAGCTAAGTATATTCTATAGTATAAAATCTATAACATCAATGGCGCTCTAAGTTTTATTAGACGTCAATATTTTACTAACATAACTAGCTTTCACCCGCGACTCCGTCCGCGTGGATTTAAATAAAAACAAAAGTGAGTAGCCTATGTGCTCTTCCAGACTATTCTCTACATCTATGCCAAATTTCACCGAAATCTGTTCAGCTGTTTAGGCTACAAACTCTAACAAACCATCCATCCATTTAAACGTTCGCATTTATAATATTAGTATGATCAAGGAAGTAAAACAAGCTCCAAGCCTCACCCAACTTAACTATCAATTTTATCAAACCATATGGTCCTTTGTTATAATAACCAGCATAATAAGACCTCTAACAATACACATTAAGTATTAAAGTTAGGCAATGTTATGTTTGAAACAGATTTATACAGAGGTCAAAAATGAATTGATGCGTAAAACCTTTTGTTGTTTTTTTAAGGCTACGCGTAGATTCTTTTGTGGCAGTTACGATTGTGTGGGCGAACAAGCGCCTTATAGCTATAATTATGCAATTTTTGTCGTTATAAGTTACTGATAGATTGTCAAAATCGTTAATTTATAATCGGGCTAAAATTATTAAATACTAGCGATTGCTTCCAAACAAAATTTAAAACAGATTAGTATCCAGTGCTCTTTCTAACTGTGTCAAATTTCTTTGAGATCCATCAACCCATTTTGGAGATATCTATGTGGTTAAAAAATCCATCCATCCATACAATCTTTACAAACTACGATATTAATAAATTTATAAAGTTTTAGTGGTACTTTAGTTAAAAAAATGATAATGTCTTACATAAGCTTGAGATGACTTGACTAAATATGAAACGCAAAAAATTTACGTTCAAACTATTTCACTTCGACATTTAACAAACTGTCAATTTGCTTTTTTACAGTTTGCAGTTACGTGTAGTACGTTTTTAAATTGACTAACTTCGTAATCTGTCTACTACATTGTAGTACATGCTTTTATCTATTCTAATGGGCAATTTTTTATACTGTTACGAAACTATGTTTTGTAATAAATCTACTTAATTCTAACCGTGGGTGTATTTACGATACACAAAAGATAACTCCGTCTCTTTCATTGTTTAGGAGAAAACTGAGATAATGATATGTTTCAAATATTTCTTTAAACGCTTAATATTCTGTTCATCATCTTTCTTACTCTACTCCTGTAGTGTCGTAACACGTTTTTGTCCTCCACATAACTCTATCATACGTCATCTCAGTCATCACTCTCTTGATCATGTCACCTTTTATACAATCCATCTCTTTCTTTGTCTACTACCGGTGTCATAATCATAACTAACGTTCTCCTTGTTACATGCGATTTATCCCTCCTCATAATATGTCCATACCATGCCAACCTTTTACTCCTTACCTCTACCACTACTACTCTCAAACTTCCTCTAATCTGTTTCGTTCATTCGTGTTTCGTTTACTAATCTGTTATTGATTTTCTATTGTCTTAGATAATCTGTGGACTTCATCGGAATTATGTATATTATGTCAGCGTTCTGCCAACAGCAATAGACATTTATTAGTCGAATTAAATGGTTTATAGTATTAATAAATGCTTTCGCTCGTAAAATAAAAACAGACTACTTAGTAGCCTATGTCTTCTAGATTATTCTCTACATCCGTTCAGCAGTTTACGCTACAAACTGTAACAAATATACATCCAAATACGGATTTATGTTACTAAGATTGTAGTATCCTGTTTGATAATAATTTATAAACAGGACATATCTTAATTACTATACTCTTTTGACTATTTCATGTTCTAATCATTTTTTATCTTGATATTACAGTTTTTTTTAAATACAATTAAACGTAAATTTTAGTACAAAAATTCGTCAACTCTTTTATACCGTGGTTAGCGATCGGCGAAGATTTTATTGAAAAAAGACTATTGGAACATTATCTATAGACTAGCAACGAGAGCATAATACCATAATAATTATCTTATGAGAATATCTCCGTTACTCAGAACTCTATAGAAGGGATTTAAAAAACAACAAAATAAGTTGATCTCGGAACACCTGCTCTAATTACAAGACCTAATACGAAATCAAACCTGTTCACATGTACAAAAACATACAAATATACAAGTAGCAACTATTAAATAAAACAATAACACTTATCCTAGTGATTTTAAGATTCAAAATCGAATGTACTTTGAGTTTTCAAACGCAAGCCTATCTTGGTAATTTTGTACTCATCGCGACGGCTTTTTTCCTGGACAACTACTTCATAATATCTTTTTTATTGGAGAGCTATTTACAGGGTTTTGTTCGAGATACTGGTCGTTATTTTTGAAAGTGATTCGTTTTTTATTTTGTTTTTTTTTTCAATTCGCATTTGACAACACGTATTCGGCTTTTTAGGTTAGAAATAGAAAAGTTAAGAGCAGCAGGAGTTACGAAATTTTGATTATAATTGTACGTGAATCGGTTGAAAACAGATATCTTACTAATATTATAAACAAGCTTTAGCCCGCGACTCCGTCCGCGTGGAATTAAAAAAAAAAAACTAAGTATCCTATGTGTTCTTCCAGACTATCCTCTACATCTATACCAAATTACATCGAGATCCGTTCAGGAGTTTAGGCTACAAACGTTAACAAATATCCATTCATACTTTCACATCATACTAATATTATAAATGCGAAAGTTTAGATGGATGTTTGTTAGAGTTTGTAGCCTAAACAGCTGAACGGATTTCCGTGAAATTTGGTATAGTCGTAGAGGATAGTCTGGAAAAATACATAGTCTACTCAGTTTTGTTTTTCTTATTCACACGCGGACAGAGTCGCGGGCGAAAGCTAGTTTATAACATTAGTAAGTTAGATCATGTATCCGTTTTTATAACTTGATATTTTTAATCCACGGAAGAAACATTTAAAAAAATAAAATCCAGGTTATTCCAATTCAAACCTAAGTCACTACGCGTCTACATAAAACTTCGCTAAGGCATTGAGTCTTTGTCTCACCAACACTACTGGAGAATAACCATTTCCCTACTATAAAAAGATCGTTCCATTTACTAGAGCATTAAAAGCATAAAAACTAGCAATAAGGTTGCAGTGAGATTCAAATGTCATCTGTTTTTTTTTTATTTTTTTTTATATGGAAAGTATTAGTAGATTTTTGTTAATTTACTAATATTTCCTTCAACCATTCCAACTAAGCTCTACGCTTGTGCTAGGATATGGTTCACGACAATAGTCGAATAACGGGATTCGAACCCTAGACCGTAAGATCGGTAGCCCGTACCCCAAACCATTAGGCTATTGACGGGCTTCGGCTAATCTGTTGAAATAAAAATATCTTTACTTCAACTTAGGAACAGTTAGTACTGAGTCATTTATTTATTTGATATTTCATTTATTTATAGTCATTTTACTGAGTCCCTTAATGGAAACCAATCTTGTATCTATACTATTATAATATAGCGTAAACACACACTTCTTTGTTGCCTAAGATGTCAGAACATCAAGAAAGCAAGGTTGTCATCATGTCATGTCATTTTGACATTTGTAATTGATAATTTGACAAATGTCAACAATAAAATAAAATTTTCACAATTTAATGCGGACGAAGTCGCTGGCAACAGCTAGTATTCTATATTTACACTTATAAAGGCAAAAGCTTTGTATTTTTAATGTAATTAATAAACACATAAACTATTGTTGCGACATATTTTGATATTAAAAAACTTATGATTTCAAATTCCAGTACTTAAGTAACTTTAAAATGATTTAAATTTTAACAGAAAATTTACAATTAAAGTAATTTTCAAAAATACCAACTGCTTGTGAGATCGTAAAACTATAATCTGAAATACTTAATTATATTAAAGAAATTAATAACTTTACTCAAATCTAACTTCAAAACTTAATGACACTTAAGAATAATTTTATTAATAAGTAACTTTATCGTCCTTCTGAAGTATAACAAGTTAATGTTTTTAATTGTCAACAATTAACTAACGAAAACTTTATTTTAATTTTCAATAATACCAATTAAAAAAGTTTTTAAAAACAAAGCAATTACGTACCTTATAAAATTTGAAAACACAATCCCAATAAAACTGCAAACAATCCTTAATAAAAACAATATTTAAAACACCAAAGTATTCCACAACACAACACTGTACGAACTTTCAATACCGAATTAAAATAAAAAAATGTCAAACGTGTTCCGAAAACGCGCGAAACCTTCTAGCTAAATGACAGAATTGTCAAAACAAAACGTTAGGTCAAAGGGCATAGAGTAGACGTCCGCTTTGGCGCCAAGTTGACACCGCACTGAGGTAACCAATGCACAGAAATGAGTGCTGCAGACGGACTTGTGTGCAATATACGCTTGATAAGGCGAGCTGTGCCTGCATTCGACGGGTTTGGATCACACGAAGAACAAAACAGAGCAGTAGAGAATACAGTACTACAATTGTTTGAACGGATTTAATTCCATTCAAAATATAGCAGTACTGCTTTTTATACTGTTCTGTGATCATTTGAATCTAGCACAAACGTCCAGTGTCGTTTGGGTACGAATTCTAATTTGTTTTAGGGCTGACAATTTTGTTTTGTCTCTATAGACAGTAATCATTTGTTTGTTTTTTCAATCTCTTAACGTAACGGGGTACTAAAAATTACGGTAAATACTATACAACATTAAAAAAGCTAAAAAATGTTTATATAAAATACGCGATATTTGGACATATTGACATACGTATCGAGTCGAATAAAATTTTCGAACAGACATCAAATATTATTCGCGTCGAAGCCCGCGTTCTATAGATGTGTAAATGTCTTTGACAATAAAGAAACGGACTAGACAAATAACCACCAGTATGTTGAAACACAGCCACTTTTTCCGTTTATGGTGGCAATCATAGGATCATGGTGGTTGTTAAATTAAAACGCAATTTTATACTGTCTCGTGAAAATTACATAATAACATAAAACAAGTGGTCAACAACCTTTACTGTACTGTAACGGTCTTGTATTTTCTAACAGCTTTCGCTCGCGGCTCCGTCCCCGGGAAATTAAAAAAAAACACAAAATTAAGTATACTATGTGTTCTTCCCGACTATCCTCTACATATATGCCAAATTTGTTTGGGTTACATTCAGCTGTTTAGGCTATAAACTCGTAACAAATATCCATACATCCGTCCATCCATTTAAATTTTGGCATTTCTTAGATTAGTAAAATGTCTAAGTATGTTTTAGATATTTTCTGACCGAACTAACCACAAAAGCAACGTCTATCTTACCGTGGTAATATTCCTTGTGGATTATAAAACTAATTGTTCGTTTTTATTTCACAAAATGCGCACACTTGACTAGTCCTGTCTCTTCAAAATCAAAGCTCTCGCTCTATAGATGTGTAAATGTAGTCCCAATTGAAATTCTATTTCCATTCAACTGGGTGAGGTTTCAAATTATTTTTCATGCTTTAGCCCGCGTTCACATAGCGTAACTTTATATACAATACGTTCATATTTTATTTACTTTATTCAGTTGTTGCAAATAAAATAATGTAGTTGACAGTGGTAGTGCCCGCTTTAACATCTTAGCACGAATAGGCCGGCACGCTCGGTGTAATACCACGACCACACAGAAGACAGACGTGAAATGGAAGCAATTCCGTGTTTCGTCTGATGAGTGTGGTGCCGGAGGTCTAATTTAAGTCCTTTTCTCCTTACCACCCTTTTCTTATAAGGAGAGAATGGGAAGGGGAAGTGGAAGTGACGGAGGATGAAATACATAGGAAGGGGAGATATTCTCTTTATTGTCGTCTCCTCCTATGTCGGGTAAGGGTAGGCAACGCATCTGCAATTGCGGATGTCTATGGACAGTGGTCGCTTCGCCATTTTGTCGGATTCAGGTGGCCGCTTGCTCGTTTGCCACCTTATATTATTAAAAAAAAATACAGGAAATTTGAAAGTAGCACCAGTGGCGGAGAAATTGAGAAGCAAATGTTAGCCTGGTATGGACATGTTATGCGACGAGAGGATGGGCACATAAACCAGACAGTGTTAAGATTAAATGTAGATGGCTACAAAGGTAGAGGACCGAAGGAAGTATGGATAGATTGTGTGGAAGAGGATATGCTAAAGAATGGAGTGGATTCAGATATAACTGCTGATAGAAATGTATGGAAGAGCAGCATATACTGTATAGACCCACCGTAGGGATAAGGGTAAGTTGATGATTTAGTTTTCCTAGCGAAAGTTTAGATGGACTTCTGTTTGTTATTTTGTAACCTAAACTGCTAAACAGATCTCGATAAAAGGCATAGATGTAGAGGATAGTCTGGAAGAACACATAGGATATTCACTTTTCTTTCTTTTAATAAAGGTAGACGTAATCGCGAGCAAATGTTAGTGTACACTTTACAACACAAGCGAAGCGGTAGAGGTTCGCTAGTATCTCATGCTTTATATCAAAGTAACCTCAATACAAACAGAACCTTACGTTGATGAAAAATGCATCATCAATTGACAATCCGATTGCTTAATTGATTCAACGAATTGCGATTCCTCGAGATTGAAATAATAATTAATTAACGCAATAGGCGAGGCTTCGCAATATTGAATATTGCCAATACAATTGAATATTTGAATGTAATGAACACTGAAAATTCCATTTTCAAATAATGTTGTTTATTTTTTTCATGCCGCAGTATTGCAGTGATTAAGTCGGTTTATCGAAACTTTGATACAGAACTGTTGTCCCTTTCATACCCGTTGAAAAGAGCGAGATAACAGTAGGTATGTTATAATTGGTAGGTATTTTTTCTTTGTTACTTCCTATAGACTAAACGACTGAAGCGATTTCGACGATTTTGGTGTCATTCTGTTCGTAATCTTTACCTGAATGTCATAGAGTTTTTCATTTTTATTAACAGACAGTATTTTTATGATAAAGAGTTAAACTCTATAAAAGTCAATCGCCATCTATAGTTCTATTTAAATGTAATAAAAACTTGTCCACTTTCGCTTTGATCTCCTATAAGCTTGCACCTGCCGACAAGTTTTATCTATAAGTGTAAGAGAGATGGGATATACTATAAAATCTTACAACCATAAGTAAGAAAGAGATAGGCGTATGTTATAAAAACCTTAGAAATAGAGATGCCTTAACAGGACGAGACAAAAAATTGTTTGTTTTATGTTTAGTAACAACAGAATCCTATCTTTGGATATTCTGTAATCAACTGAATGTATCGATTCATTTTATTTCTTTTATGAACTAGTAATTTGTCCCAGCTTTTATCGAAAGTTAAATAATTTATTTCAATATACGTTACGTATAAAAACAAATTACTTGTTCACATATTAAACTCAAAAATAACTAATGTGACGTAAACAAAATAGTTTATAGCAACTTTTGACATGTAAATAAAAGTCTATTCGATTAAAAAAACAAAACACATTATGTCCAAACATTGAAATCTTACTAATATTTTACTTCTTACTTCTTACTAATATTATAAATGCGAAAGTTTAGATGGATGGATGGATAGATGAATGGAAGTTTGTTAGCGTTTGTAGCCTAAACGGCTGAACGGATC